GGGTCAGGGGGACTTTGTAAGTAAGTTAACAAGCCCTATAATCCATGCAGTGACCCTAGTCATCCAAATTATGAACCTATTTACTAAATCATCCTGAGCCTGCAAGTAGAGGGTGGCAAGGAAAGACTCAACCCTAAACCCTGAACAATAACCCAATCAAGTAGAGGGTTGCAGGGAAGACCCCCTAATGCCACACTAGCTTCACAATCAAAGCTCCGCATGGAGCCGCTCAAAAGGGCTCCTATAGGGTTTAGGGGTTAGGCTTCCGCTTAGGGGTTTTGGGGTTTAGGGCTTTGGCATGAGCTATGGTCAATATTTGGATTATAGCTAGTGGAATACATGGTGGTATTTTCGGATAATGGAAAATCAAAGGGAAAATGAAATCGAGACTGGAGGTATGCAGGGGATGATTATAGGGAATAGTATTTCCCATCAAACTGATGGACATGGGTTCCTTGTTAGGGACTCTATTCCAGACTATACGAAAGTACAAGATGGACCCCTATGTCCTCAAAAATCTATTACTGACTGTAGCTCACAAGATCTCCTCTTCCTCTGGCCTCTATGTTTCCCGAGAAGTCCCTCGGAAGTCTTAAAGAGTAGATGCCGGCTTTGGCAACGTCCATCATGCCTTCTACTCAGGCGTCCTCTCTCTTCCCCAATAACCAGGGCTAAAAAGGGTTTAAACGTTATTATAGAGACCAAATAAGGAAGCCCAAAAAGGTTCAAGTTCTTCTATTGGCTCAGTAGGTCCTTCATTGGAATATGCAATCCTGTGCTCGGCGCTTTGGGGTGACAATATCTTACATCTTCCTGTGCGCATGCCAGGGTTTAGGGTTTAGGGTTTAGGGCTTAGGGTAGGCATGACCAAATCGCAAGCCCACCAAGGATCCCCAAAACTCTGATAAACTGGGTTGCTGTTAAAGAAAAGAAGGTTGCTATAATCAGGATCCACAATCATTCAATACCTACTCGTATTATGGTGACTTATTCTAGGACACCCAGTTCTTTAATACATACCCATATTATGGTGACTTATCTAAAGACACCCAACTATTTAATACATACCCATGTTATGGTGACTTATCTAAAGAAATCCAACTATTTAATACATACCCATGTTATGGTGACTTAATTCAATTCCTTAACAGCGAGCAAGATAAACGGCCAGGCGGCAGTTCAAGTTCCGCGACCAAGCAGATAAGTGGCTGTTGCGGCACCTACGGATTTTTGAGTTTCCGGTTTTAGGCTTTATATTGGGGCTATATGTCATGGGGATAATGGAAAAGAAGATGGAAACTACGTACTATAACGGGTTTTTATAGGGTTTAGGGTTTAGGGACATGTTTCTATAAAAGCTGACAAACAGTTAAGACTGACTGCTGGAAACCCTTACATAGTATTTCAACAGAAAACACACCCAAACCCCAAACCTAGTTGCCACTCATCTGGGCCCCTTACATAAACGAACAACAAACACAACTGACGGCCCCTGGCCAAAGTACCTCATCTTCAACTACTCCTATTGCCCTTCCATGTTCTGGTTAAGCAAATTGGTTGCGTGAGCTTGTAAACCCTAAGCCCTAAACCTAAAACAGAAACTCCAACCAAGGATGTCCCGGTTTGTAGGGAAATAGGGATAATGGAAAAGAAAATGGAAACTACTATTCAGGGTTTAGGGTTTAGGGTATAGTACCCCTTAAGTAGACAGAATATCAGGGTCATATTGGGTTTATTTAGTGATGATGGAAAAGAAAATGGAAACTACTGTTTAGGGTTTAGGGTTTAGGTTTGGCAGGTACATGGTGCAGGGTCTGGGTTATTGCTCAGTGCTGAGGCTTCGGGATTTGGGGTGAGTGCTCAAGTTTTGCGAGTCCTCATGTCTGAAGCAACGGAGATGAACGTCAAGAACGATGATGGCTGTAGCATGCCAAGAAATCGGTACTTCTCAAGGCCCATTACAAGCCTCCCATGAATAGAACACCCAGATTCTGGCATATCATCGTCTCCCAGTTGTGGGGCTGGTCAACGGGCCATCCGCTGCTTCAGTGCCCAAACAACCCTCCGTCTCCCTAAAACAGAACTAATCCCTGGGACTCCCAAGCCTTAACCTTAATCCCTAAAACCCAAAGCCTCATCCCGCAAACCCTATATGGTAGTTTCCC